GCTACATTTCTCCAAATCTGATGAAGAAACAAACTCATCTTGGATGGCCTGAGAGTGAGTATATTTTCAGCATATGTTCATTTTTGGGTGAACTATTACTTTCAGTTTCTTTGCTATCAGATTAAAGTTAAAATATCATCAATCATATTATAAAATTGACATTGCATAGTTCTTGGTGCATACTGAATTATATAATAAGAAGACTGCATTTATCTTTCAATTCAGCATATCCTATAGAAATGTTGATTTGCCATTTTTGTCGCCCTGAGAGTTCAGATGAGACAAGTCTTACATTTGATAAGATCTCTTTGCTGAGAGGTTTTGCTTTAAATTATTTTTTTGGCTTCATTATTTACAGCCTTACTTGTTTTATTGTCCTGTGGCAAAGGTTCCTCTGAAGCTAATGGAAAAACAACCTTCAAAAGACTCTATCAAATAGAAATGACAAGCGCTTCTGAGGCTGATTTGACTGGGAGGTCTTCAGGCTGCGCTGTAAATGTCTGGTAGGAAGCCCAACTTTCTTTCCATGACGGCAGAGCTAGACATAAGAAGTGCTCAGAGGCAATACAGTAGTTAATTGAGTCAAGGACATTGTTACCCATAATGCTAAGATTTTGACACATTCCACACCAACACAACAGTCTGTTCAACATCAACATTCAGCAAGTTTCAGTACATCTGTGATCAAACCTGTAACCTTTACAAAGAAACTGTCATCTTAAATGAAGTTTATTATAATTGTACTAATTTCTCTCCCAAAAATGAGCATTCTGTTATTATTTACTCACCCTCATATGCCATTGTTATTCTGTGAAACACAAGAGAATAAAAAAAAAAAATCAATGGCATCTCTTTCCATAACATTTGATGTCTGTCAAAAAGAAAAAAAAAACAACAACAACATTTAAATGATCCTATAAAGGCCCATTGGCACAAACAAACAACAACTACAACTATAGATATACTTATAACGATGATCATATTAGTGTTACGCCTACCTAAAACGGCTCGTTCTAACACGCCCCCACATATCTACGTCACGATGTGGGAAGATTTGCATAACGCCGCCCAAATGTTCATGCAAAGAAAGAAGGCGTAACTTTTATTCTCGCTGTAGTATTGTTGTTGCCGCCGCCATGTCGTGAAGACGCTGTGTGCTTCGTTGTGAAAGCGAAACTACTTTGTTTGGTCTTCCAAAAGAGGACGATATCCGCTTCGTCATGCCTAGAGCTGATCCGTGCTGGTCGCTGAGGAAATACATCAACTTCGCGCTGTGGATCGCCGGATCGGCTTTCACCGTGGACGAAGCGGAGTCCAGCCCGGGGTCGTCACATGTGGTTGCCGCAAGCCCGCCGGACGCTCCTTCGTCGAATCTGCCGGCCGCGCCGTTCTCAAGCCTGCCCACCTCCGCTTACTCTAGGCCGCCGGCCGCTACTCACTCAAGGCCGCGGTGTGTGACGCTTTTTCGTTGTGAAAGCGAAACTACTTTGTTTGGCCTTCCAAGACCCCTTTAAACGTACATCAGCTGGGAAAAAAAATGTTCTGAAAGTAATTTCCAACAATATCGTTCCTCTGTGTCATTAGTATTATAGCTGTGGTGTGAACTTCCCTATTCTAATAGAATAGGAATGAATATTAAAACCTAAGAGTTATCGTCCTTGGTTTGAAGCAGCCTGTGCACTATATTTCATAAAAAAAACTTTTGTGAGGAACAAAGTCATTCTTCACTGATAACCTTGCCCTCCACTGCAAGATCTGAAATCGCTTTCACACACATTCAGATTTTCATGTGTTACAATTAATCACCACACAAATATCTGAATATAAACAATGGAGAATAAGATTTGAGAGCTGCAGTTAATATAACGCAAAAAACACAAAAGTTTGGCCTTGTTGTGGCTCCCAAAAACAAAGATCAGGATCTGGTGCTCGCCTTACATAATAATACAATATTATGATTCTAATGTACTAAAAGAAGTTACCTCAATTACTGGTCGTTGCAGTCTGTTCTTCGCCATTATGACCTGAATCAGAATCCCATGGCTCTGAATAACTAAAATTCTAAAATGAATGCTGCAATAAATGTATCTATTTCAGTTGACCGACAGATACTGATTTGGATGAGTCCAGCTCTCGAGGATCTAGTTTTAGGGTCTTTATGTAATAGTGCACAAGGGTTTACACCATAAAGATATTTGCAGGACATATTACATATTTTTCAAGTAGTAGAAATTCAAAAACAAACAAATAGGCCTCAAAACCACAAAGCCTCATTAAACCTGAAAAAAAAAAAAAAACTTTTCGGTAATTTTCAGTAAATTACGTAAAAGAGATGTTTGCACACTTAACATTTTGCTACTAAAAGTTAAGTATAAACCAGAAGCAAGATGTCACGATTAAAAGAGAAAATGAAATAACCTTTGTGCGGTTTCTTAAATGCTCCATCATTGTGCTTTGCTGCGCTTCTTGTTGAACGTCTCATTCTCTTAAGAAGTCATTAAAAGCCACACAAACAGTAACACATTGCCCAAAACCATCTGCAGCATTTGAGGGGATTTTATGCTTGAAGTCTTGAAAGTTTCCCTGTGGTTTGGTACGCATGTTGGATCTAAATAAAGTGACTTGTCAAACGGCCACAGGAAGCTCAGAGCGTTTGTGAAGCCAAAACAGAGGCAGATTTCCAGTAAACATGAATTACTCTGTATTCCAGTAAACATGAATTATCCCCGTTTGCACTTACGAATGGGGGTAAGATGTGCCATGTGCTACAATGCAATCAATTTGAAAGTGCCATAATGCAAAAGACTGTTTATGGCTCAAAGAAACAGATCATCCAAAACTTCCATCACTTGCTCACAAATGGATGCTCTGCAGTGAATGGGTGCCGTCAGAATGAGAGTCCAAACAGCTGATAAAAACCTCACAATAATCCACAAGTAATCCACACCACTCCAGTCCATCAATTAACATCTTGTGAAGCCAAAAGCTGTGTGTTTGAAAGAAACAAATCCAACATTAAGGCATTTTAACATTAAACCATCACTTCTGGCCAAAATACGAGTCCATAATCCATAATAATGCTTCATCCAGTTAAAAAGTCCATCCCCTTCTTTCAATGCTTTCATTTGTAAATGGCACTTGAGCTGTGCAGATTTCTCTCCTGATTCAGACCAGATGATTTTTTCATTGGACAAAGTTATGAAAAATGTTATGGATAACGCCATAGAGGACCTGTATTTCACCTGGAAGCAACAGTTAAAATGTCTCAATGATGGATTTTTTTCTTACAAACATGCAGCTTTTCTCTTCACAAGATGTTAACTGATGGACTGGAGTGGTGTGGGTTACTTGTGGATTATTGGGATGTTTTTATCAGCTGACTCTCATTCTGACGGCACCCATTCACTACAGAGCATCCATTGGTGAGCAATGTAACGCTACATTTCTCCAAATTTGCTCTGATGAAGAAACAAACTCATCTACATCTTGGATGACCTGATGGTAAGTTTTCAGCAAATTTTCATTTTTGGATAAACTATTCCTTTAAAGCTCATTGTAAGAAAATTACATTGTTACAAAGAGATTTTGGTGGAGCTTTCGATATGGACACCTGATAGTAAACTTTCTTTTTTTTTTTATCCATCGATCCATTTTTTTTAGAATAATAAAACACAAAATTCAACCAGCATTCAACAATGGTAATCACATTTATACAAGAAAGAAAATTTTAATCAGTTGACAATGCAAAGGACAAACACACAGCAGGTTCGTCTAGAGGCAAAACAATGACTTGAACTGGATGATACACATTAAACGCTTTATGAAATTGTGAACAGGAGATTATTTACGCAGTGCAGTAACTAAACATGTTTTATTGTATTTGTTCATGTGACCAAACACTCAACTATTCCCAACATAACATTAAAAAAATATTGGGGAAACATACTAGCTACATTCCTAAACATTAAATTAGTCTTCATATAAAATCATTAAATAATTAGATGAAAGAGTACAATGAAATAGCGAATTAAATACTCAATTTAATGTTGAAAATAAAAACAAACAAAAAAACAGATAACTCTGCATGCATTCCTGTGGGACTTTCAGTTAAATAAATGAATGAAATGAAAAATCGACATCAACATCAGCGTGTAATTTTGGACAACAACTTCAGATATGATTTTAAACTATCATTTTGGTTCCTAGATGTATAAACCTGGGACTGGTTTTCCAGTTCCAATTCTTGGATTTTAAATGATATTCAATAGAAATAAAAAAACGGCTTGCTAATGAGTCACAAACAGGTTCGACTGATGCCGGAAAAATCAGTTTTGAAAGTTTACTGACTGCCACAGACATGAAGAGAACATCAGATTTGTGGTTAATTTCAGATTTAAAAACAGTCAAAATAGTGGTTAGAACATGTAACAATAATATAGCTGCTTGAACATTATAATCCACACTGTAAGAAAACGAAAACCCATCCGAGTGTTTGATTAAAGTCTCACAGTGAAGGTCTGGTATCACTTTGAAGCCTTTATATAAAATGCATTATAAAAGTAGATGTAATGCATTAATTATGCCTCGTAATGCACATTATAATGTATTGTATAATTACAACAATTGTAATCATTGGAGGAGTACAACAAACAAACCTTCAAATATCATAATGCATTTTAACTTTGGTTACAGTTATTTATGAAAATATATAATGCATTATGACGTATATTATGAATACCTTTATAGTGCATTATGCACAAAGGCTTTAAATAAAGTGTTACCAGATTAATTAATGTGATATGGAAAAACTCCACATAATTTAAATCAAGAAGTCTGTAAAATTTTTTTACAATAATGAGTATTTGTGCATAAAATAAGTTTCAATCTCATGAAAATGTCACATCTTTATGGTCCTAAAAACAGCTTGTTTTAAGCAAAATTTAATTTATTTATTTCTTCAAATCTTGGGATGAAATATGACTGTGGAAATATTAACTTGTTTATTACAAAAAAAAAAAAAACACCATAAATGTCAGAAGCCACAAATGGACTGGCAGGAACAATATCCAAGTACTTGAGCACCATTGAACATCATAACATGAGACGGAAAGAGAGTAAAATCTCAGTAAAACATAAGCAGTGGTGACTGGAGTGACAGATCAGTTCAGGAGGGACGTTACAAAGACAAAAAGGGAAAAACACAATATTAAAACAACGCATTCCTGAATGGTCGCTTGTCTATGTACAAGGGTTTGTTCAGAGTTGGAGTGTTTTTGTTCTAATCTCTTTTTCCAGACAAACACAAAAATATTGAAATGCTTGAGAAGTTCTGTAACAGTGCAGTGAACTGGGCTCCATTTCCAAACAAACTAAAGTCATGCAGTCACTGCCATCTAAATAAAACCGAACTCTTCCAACTCTATGCATTTGACGCATGAACACAGACTTTGGGGCTCAAATAAGGGTTTGTCCAAGTGTGACCCTTTATAAAGTCATTGCGGTAACAGCATCTCAGTCCAGCAGCCAGAATAAGTCAGAACACAACTTCAGACGCAATACTTGTCGCATAACAAAAGAAACACTGTAGTGGTTTTGATTTGATCACTGTAGCGATAGAGATCCAAAGCTCTTTAGGTAAAAGCAGCATCAACTTAAGAGAGACTGAACTTGACCACATGAAATATTTGTTAATTGTATGCAAAAAAAGCAAACAATATCCTTATTTTTCCGTCCGTCGAACTAGTGGGTTTCAGTTGTACTTTCAGAGAGTCTCTGCTCAGATCAGGTCTTCAGAAGCCCGAAGAACTCTTTCCTTCGGCGCGTGAGCGTTAGGCCTCGGAGCCCAGAGATGTTCTGGTGGGACTGGGCGGCAGACGGGCCGCAGCGCTGTGCTCCGTCCGGAAACTATATTCATACTGACACAGACACAGACAGAAAGAGTTAAACACCATCTGAAAGAGAGTTTCACAGCACACACTGACCTCTAGTGGATCAGTCAAAAACAACTCATGATTCCACTGATCTAAAGCTGAATTCAACCTCATACCATTTGTGACCCTGGATCACAAAACCAGTCATAAGGGTCAGTTTTTCAAAATTTATACATCATCTGAAAGCTGATAAATAAGCTTTCCATTGATGTATGGTTTGTTAGGATAGGACAATATTTGGCCGAGATACAACTATTTGACAATCTGGAATCTGAGGGTGCAAAAAAAATCGAAATATTGAGAAAATCACCTTTAAAGTTGTGCAAATGAAGTTCTTAGCAATGCATATTACTAATCAAAAATGAAGCTTTAATGTATTTACAGTAGGAAATTGACAAAATATCTTCATGGAACCTGATCTTTACTTAATATCCTAATGATTTTTGGTAGAAAAGAAAAATCAATAATTCTGACCCATGCAATGTATTGTTGTTGGCTATTGCTACAAATATACCCCAGCGACTTAAGACTGCTTTTGTGCTCCAGGGTCACATTTATTCAAAACTAATTATATTAAATAAAAATTAAGGCAAATATATACAATTATATATTAGGCAAAATGCAATATTTGTTCTAATTGTTCAATATTTGTTCTAATCGTTATACTATTATAGTTTTTTGTTCATTTAAATAAATTTTATTTTCACTTTAATTTAAAATGTTGTTGTTTTTGTTATTTTGTCTATATAGTTTTTATTTATTAATTTGAGTTATTTTAGTACTAACGTTATAACTGTATATAAACGTCGCAGTGGCAACTAGCTTAAAATAAGTTTAAGCTTTTTATATTTTATTTTAGTTAACATTTATTTTATTTTAAGTAACAAGAAAACTTGTAATAAATTACTTGTAATAATAAATTTAAATTACTTGTAGTGATACATGTATTACTACAAGTACGTTTTTTTTTTAGGTTTTAGTTAACTATAATAACCCTGATTAGTTCACTTAGCATCATGAGAATAATAAACATACAAAAACACATAACAGAAACAAAATGTCGAGGAGATTTGATGTGAAATTGAACTGGACTTATTTGAATACCTCTTTATTTAAATAAAACATTTACTACATTCTAAAACCCCTTTAAATATCCATTGTAATCAATAACCATTATTGATTGTAATGCCCTGCCTCTTTGCCCATTTAAAGGTTAAAACATCAATGTCCAATAAATAATTAAACATATTACTGATAATAATCACAATAAACAATTCTTCCACCAAAAATAAAGTGCATAAGGGTCTGTTCACACCAAAACCGCAAACTATTTTTTAAAACCGTACGCTTATAGTTAACATTACAGTTATGGTTCTTGGTGTGAACAGGCCTTTAATATAATTATAATATAACATCTGACTGTGGATAATAGGAAAATGAATACAGATTTAATTGATGTGCATATAAGGGATATTTCACATGACTTTATTCAATCAGATTTAGAGTAATCCTTTTTAAAAAGCACCGAAAAACTTTTTCGCACTTACACGGCTCGAAAATACCTGCTTGGAAACAAAAGCAACAAACAAACTAGCACTTGTCATGGTTGAAACTCAACAGATCCTCACCTCCTTCTCAATCTCTGCAAGCGATTTGATTCTGATGCCCATTAGATCCACCTGCTGCAGCTGAAACACAGAGAGACACTGTCAGACTAACACCACAAACTCCTCCTCACTGTACACATCAGTTCTTATGATAGTTTTAAGTACCTCAAATCTTTCAAAATCTACATCTAATAGTACGGTGCTCTACAGAGTGTTTAAGAGTTCATATGAAGCACGCGATTGGTTGATATCAGACTCACATCACTGGAGGCACACGCAAACTTCTCCGAAATCATGAAAGGCACTCCATCCATAGCTGAAAAGTCAAAAAGTCAGTATTAACCAGAGCTCACCAGACATAATATACTTTGCCTTGCACAAAAAGCCACGGAATATTAATATATCATTGGCTGATGACATCTACGAAATAAAATGATTTGTAAGTGGTTTTGGATTAAAGCATCTGCTAAATGAATAAATTTTTTCCCACGGATGTGTGACAAACGAGAAGCGTGCAGTAAGAAACGAGCGCTCAGAACAGAAGGAGAGATATTCTGACTCATCACTGAACACCATCCGGAAGAGTTAAACAGATTCCACCTCCAGAAGGGTTTATTATTACATCCCTAATGACAGCAGTCATGAATCCACATGGACGCTCTGAGCGCTGATGGATTATTACATGCACTGACCTTCATCTCAAGCAGTCTAGAGATGCACAATATATCTGATATATAATTCACGACTGTTCAAAATTTGGGGTTGGTGAATATTTGACTTTTTTTTTTTGGAAAGAAGTCTTTTTGGCTCACCAAGGCTGCATTTATTTGATAAAAGAAAGTAAAAATAAAACAAAATTTAATTTAAAATCACTGTTTTCTGTTCTAATATATTGTACAATGTAATTTATTTCTGTGATCAAAGCTGGATTTTCAGCATCATTACTCCAGTCTTCAGTGTCACATGATCCTTCAGAAATCATTGTAATATGCTGATTTGCTGATCAAGAAACATTTCTGATTATTATCAATGTTCATATTTTTGTAGAAACTATGATTAATTTTTTTCTGGTTACATTTATGCATAGAAAGTTCAAAAGATCTGCATTTATTTGAAATGGAAATCTTTTTCAAGCTATAAAAGTGTGACATTTTAATCAATTTAATGCATCCTTGCTGAATAAAAAGTTTTAATTTCTTTAAAAAATTAAAATAAAAAAAGTAGTGTATATTACCGATATACTTGATGCAGATAATATCAGGGCTTATTTTTTCTAACTTTAACTTATAGAGTAAACCTACAAAGCAAACTCTTTTTTTTTTTCTATTTTATAACAAAGTGATTATTTTTTTCATTTGTAAAAGCATGTCAAATTCTAGATTGGAGCTCTAAGAACATTCTGTCACTGATTGGTGGTTTCATGTTACAGTCCTCTCTATTTAAATGTTCATGTGATATTGAAGGCGTTCAGTTTGGGTCAGGTTTTGGTACCAGAGATGGCATAGAGGTTGGAGTTCTGGTGTTCAAAGTCTGGTCTGGTTGTGCTTTTTCTGAAACATGCCGGCAGGGTCATGGATATGTGCCTGCAAAGAAACACAAAAGGAAAACAATTAGCACTTAATCAAATAAATATTCAACGTATCTTCCTTCTCAGTCCTCACTATTATCACTGCGGTTTGTGTATCATCACAGCTGTTTTTCAGACCAAATGTCATTACCAATCTGTCATCTGTCTGACAACCTTACTGATGTCTGTAACACAGGCGTGCAAATTGTGATATTTCAGTCTCACAGGCTGCATGCTGAGATCTAAATCCTAATAAAACAAACTGTTCATCTGATGATGCTAGAACCTTTAAATACAGAATTTTTCTGAGTTTTTTAAGCTTTATTTTTAGCAGTTGTGCTTTAAAGAAAGTCAAAAATATAGATATTTTTAGTGGCGGTTCTTTAAATAGCAGACCAAACAACGTGCTTTGCTTTAGGTGTTAGATAGCTTGCAAAGTAAAAACCGCTCAGAAAAATGTCTTTGGTCATTGTGCACATCGTACGCATCCCGTCACGAATGTTGTGTTTTATAATGCCGTGACAAGTTAAAAATACCATTAATTAAAAAATAAAAATAAAAAAATAAAAATGTTGCGTTCCATGTAGCTGTTTTTCATGCAAGAACCAGTGTTTTTGTTTTAGTATTATTTATATATTTTTCATTAATATTTTGAATAAGCTTTCATTTTAAGTTTTCATTTTGATTTTTTTTAAGTTTTAGTAATTGTGTTATTTATTAGTTTTTTTTTTTTTTTTTAGCTATAATTTATTTTTATTTCAGTTTGTAAGTTTAGAACTTCAGCTTTTATTTCAGTTGATTGCCAAGGCAATTCTCTCTCTTTTCAGTTTAGTTTTCATCTTATACTTATATTTTATCTTATTTCAATGAATTAATACATTTTTTAAAATAGAAAAATGTAATAGATTGATTAGAAATACAACATTTATTTTTACTAGGTTTAGTTAAAGGAACACTCCACTATTTTTGAAAATAGGCTCATTTTCCAACTCCCCTAGAGTTAAACAGTTGAGTTTTACCGTTTTCGAATCCATTCAGCCGATCTCCGTGTCTGGCGGTAGCACTTTTAGCTGTAGCTTAGCATAGATCATTGAATCTGATTAGACCATTAGCATCTCGCTCAAAAATGACCAAAGATTTTCTATATTTTTCCTATTTAAAACTTGACTCTTCTGTAGTTACATCGTGTACTAAGACCTACGGAAAATGAAAAGTTGCGATTTTCTAGGCCGATATGGCTAGGAACTATACTCTCAACTTAGAAAATCGCAACTTTTCATTTTCCGTAGGTCTTAGTACACGATGTAACTACAGAAGAGTCAAGTTTTAAATAGGAAAAATATAGAAAATCTTTGGTCATTTTTGAGCGAGATGCTAATGGTCTAATCAGATTCAATGATCTATGCTAAGCTACAGCTAAAAGTGCTACCGCCAGACCCGGAGATCGGCTGAATGGATTTGAAAACGGTAAAACTCAACTGTTTAACTCTAGGGGAGTTGGAAAATGAGCCTATTTTCAAAAATAGTGGAGTGTTCCTTTAACAATAACAACAATGGCCAGAACATATTCTATGCAAATTCCCCCTAAAAAACATATCCGATCAGGGTTGGTTCAACCTGAAACCAATCAATAATACAAATCTTCAATGAACCACTAGTTCAGGGAACTAATTTGAACTAACTACTTGGAAACAAACATTATGCATTAGAAACTTTTATTTTTGCGATTACACATAAGCAACTGCTGCTAGCACACACTCAAATAAAGCTGTGCATTTACCACAGATCCACTCATTAACAAGAGAATGCTCTAGGCTTTATGGCAAACACCCACCATTAAACGCACTCATAACATGACTAAGTCACCGTACACATGACACATGCTCTACCCAGTTGATGTTTTCAGTATGCACTGTATGTGTTCTGCTGGCAGCTGCAAGGGAAACTCCACACATCACGAGGAACAAAACAACTGTATATAAATAGAATTTGGTCGTCTTGGACTGCTGATATTCTCCCTTTGTGATTTGGAAAAGATAGATGTCTGGGATAGTGGTTGTACACGATGTTAAAATGTTTCCTATTCAAAAGTTTATGGTTCTATAAGATTTTTTAATGCTTTTGAAAGAAGTCTCTTCTGCTTCATTTTTGTGATCAACAATACAGTAAAACAGTACTATTGTGAAATATTATTATTGTGGAAACGATACATTTCTGCATTTTTCAGGATTCTTTGATAAATAGAATGCAAAAAAAAAACATATATTGGAAACAGAAATCTTTTGCAACATTATAAAGTTATTTACTGTCATATATAATGTCGTTTTCCATGATACGACCCTTGAATTGTTGTGCAATGCTGTGAGAAAGAGTCCAGACATGTGTTTCAGGGCCACAGATGAGATGGCCACTCCCTCATTGAGATGCATTTCTGCTTGTGTGACTTCACTGCAGTTGTATCCTGTTATATATAATAAGATCACGGATGGACAGTATCAAGAGAGCAGACAGACAGAGAGGAAACCATGAGAGGGAAACAGCTGGAACAGACACTTCCCATTTGTGTCAGAGAAACGCCTGGGGCGTACAAAATCCTGAGACACAAACAAGCCCGTAAACATCAAGTATGGGAGAAAACGTACACATTTTACACAAGTGTAGCATGTGAAAACACTCCAAATAAATAGTTTCATTAGTCCAGTTATATCATGGAACACAGGATGTTTTTTTGCTTATTTTGCTTATTTTAATATGCTTATCCAGAAGGGATGCATTAAATTAAACAAAAGTGACATTAAAAGACATTTATAATGTTACAAAAGATTCAAATTAATGCTGAACATTCTACTCATCATTCTATTCATCAAAGAATGGTGAAATAAAATGTGTCACTCATTTATTCCAGAACATAAGGAATGCTGTGCTGGACCTGCCTATTAAAGGGTTAGTTCACCCAAAAATTAAAATTAGCCCACGTTTTACTCACCCTCAAGGCGTTGGTGTATATGACTTTCTTCTTTCAGACGAATCCAATTGGAGTTATATTAAAAATTGTCCTTGCTCTTCCAAGCTTTATAATGGCACGGGCGGGTGTTTTTGTTCAACAGTCCAAAAATAGTCAAATAAAGTGCATCCATCCATATTAAAATGTGCCTCACACGGCTCCGGGGGGTGAATAAAGGCCTCCTGTAGCGAATCCATGCGTTTTTGTAAAAAGAAAATATCCATATTTAAAACTTTTGGACTGTTGAATAAAAAAAGCTTGGAAGGGCAAGAATAATTTTTAATATAACTCCGATTGGATTTGTCTGAAAGAAGAAAGTCATATACACCTAGGATTCCTTGAGGGTGAGTAAAACACGGGCTAATTTTCATTTAGTTTCATTTTTAACTAACCCTTTAACAAAGTGTTTTTACTTGGGGTGTAACGGTTCACAAAATTCACGGTTCGGTTCGATACGACACAGTGGTGTCACGGTTCGGTACGTTTTCGATATGGGGGGGGGTTATTGCTTATGACGCAATGTTGGAAATATTTCTGTTTTAAACCATGAAGGCGAGCCAATGGATGTCACATGCAAACGTGCAAACTTTGTGCAAGAGTTATGCTGGTGAACGTCTTAATCTCAGTCAATTCACTATATGCAGAAAGTGAAAGTAAAAACGGAATGACGGAGCTTTCGGCATCTGATGCCGCATATTCTCTCAGAGACGACGAGACGAATCTACTTCAACATATGCTGATAACGGTATAGCTAACTGTTTTAATTTATTCCTTTAATATTTCTCTTGTGGCCCATACATAGTGGAAAAAAAAGACAAAAAACATATTTCGTGTTAAACAGGTTTTTGAAAGTCGGTGCTTGAAATAGGCTAAAGCTTTTTATTCATTGATTTTAATTGATGACTGCTGAGTTAATATTTTAATTATAGGCCTATAATTCATTGTATATAGACCAGTTTTAAAAGGCATTTTTTTGAAAAACATTTTAAATGAAGAGTAAACAGCCTAATCTTTTGTAATCCTCGCAGCGCGTCAGTTATGCGGTAATATTGCGGGGAAAATTAATTGTAATTTTAATTTAATAATAAAAGCAACTTCATAATAATAATAGGCCTAATAAAAAAAATAAGAATGTAACAGGCCTACGTTAATTGGAAATGGCAAATCCTCTTAATATTGCCAATAATTGTTGTTTTTGGACAATATTTCTGGCTATTGTCGATACAAGATCATTGTTTCGACGCAACCCAGCAAGGCCTTTCGCTCCACTACGCCACTGGACAGACAGCACGTTGCCTGTTACGTCATTTAGGCTGCCTTGTTGAACGCAGTGGCACTGAGAACATTATATTTCACACACTTTAAGCTCTTTTATTTTCCAAATGTAAAAGGAATCGTTCGGTTTGTAATGCGTACCGAACCGAAAGCCTCGTACCGAACATTTCAATATGAATACGTGTATCGTTACACCCCTAGTTTTTACCCTTCAATGTTCCTCTTCCTTCTCTCGGGTTGTCTCACTCACTCTTTCTATTCTGCAGCTGTTGCAACAAATGCAGTTCACACTTCCTCAGATATCACAAACACTTACTTGGGCAAGACTGGCGCTGGAGTGGAGTTGTTGGTGACAGTCTGGATGTTATTGGTGTTGTTGGTGGTGGAGTTGTTCTGTACAGGGGAAGAGTCCTGGGCCCGTGGCACCTTTCCCATACGGTACCAGATCCCCATATTGTTCAGCTCTCTGTGAGGAAATACAGAATTAATATCATTCCACCAAACTAGAACCACACCAACACCCGGAAACACAAAAGAGACGCATTCAATAAAAATAAAATGAATAAAGACAGCGAGTGCTTTGCAGATCTCAAAATGCAGCCAGAGATTCAACCATTCAACAATGGTGTCTTAATAAATTTCAGCCTCATGACGATATATTAAAGATGCTGAATATTGCTCAGAAATGTTTTAAAACTGTTTTAAGAGAAAGTAAAACTTTGGGATTTTAAATGCAAAGACATTAATTAAAATGGTTGTTTAAAATAATTATTTATCCCCCAGAGGAACCATAATTTACAAAGTTAAATTAAAAAATGTTTAATGACAGAAGTAAAACACTATAAAAAAATAGTTAAACTATTATTAACATATACAAATATTAATATAA